ACAAGGCATCATTCACAGTATGGTAGGGGCATAACATTTCCGTCACACGCTTGAGGTATTCGGTCAATCACAACGCTCTGGATAGCTGGCCAATCAGAGCATACCTCGCTTTTCAGACCAATGAGGTTTGTAAAAATCGACGCGTTTCAGAAAGGCGGGGCATAGAGGAGAAACAATAATGTACAGTATGTGGAAAATAATGTTTTTTTAACCTTAAACTGCATAAACATTTCATTACACCAAATACACAAAATAATGTTCTTTTTAGCAGCATCATATGACCCCTTTAAAATATATATATTTTTTATAAAATATTTAGTTTATTTTTTGTTACTTGCAATAAAGACATTATTAAATGATATACATTATTTGTATATATAATGTATTACAAGAAGAAAGAGAGACCCTATGCAATGCAATAAATGTACTTAATAGATTATTAATATATTTAATCTATACAATTATATATTAATAAAATTTATACACAAAACATCAATTTTTAGTATCTTTTTTAGCAATAAATAACTAATTAGTATGATAAAAAATAATAACAACCATGATATAATAATAATTTATATTAAATATAAAAAACATTAGTTTCTCCTTTTTTCATACAAATACTTACAATAAAGACATTAAGGGCCAGATTTACTATCAGCTTGCGTCAGTGCAAACCCTCAAAAAACTACTGTCAGGATTTACTATAGACACGCAGCGGGAAATTAGCGCTGAAAAGGTGTGGACACAGTTATTTTTGCGACTCACCTTATTGAATATGCATTTGTAGGATCTTTAAATTTATGGGAGGAGAATATTTAAATGAACCACGCAATGTGATTTACTAAGATTTGCGCTCGTCAATTAAAGTATTTGCGGCATTATTTAATGCCCAAAAAAAGCAGGCGGTAATTGCGCTGCTCTTGGTAGATTGCGCTGGTCATTATGGAAATGAGATGTTGCGTCTGTGTTCTTTAATGTGCACCTTGTCATTAAATCACCTGTACATTTTTTCCCTCCCATCGGCGCTTTAATGGAATTGCGCTCTAGCGCTAATTTGCCCTGTTTAGTAAATCTGGCCCCAAATGTTAAACGTATTAAATCTTATACATAATCTTATATACTTTTCACAAACAAATAAAATAAAATATTGAACCTCCAATTGTGTAAAAAAGGTTAATGAGTCACTAATGTATACCCTATTTGTGGAAAAAGCCTCCAGCATCCCTTCTAATTAAAAGTTTCGGAATAGATTCTCTTCCATTCAACATGTACTGTACCAAACAAAGTGAAATGTTGAATCCACATGTCCTCTTGTTCATTCATTTGCCCTTGCAGTGAGTCATGAGACGATGGATGTGTATCCTACAAGCCGATGAGGATGAGGATGACAACACCCCTCCAAATCGGGGGATTGCAAAAAACACAGTCGCAACGTGACACACGGGACGGACACAAACTCCTACTCGATCACAAGATCATAGACAGAGGAAGATGAACGGGGGGGTTTGCTACTCTATACCTACAGTGGCTGGTCCTCGGTACAGGGGACATTGGGATGCCGTAAGTGACTGTTTGAGAGCTACGATGGCAGTGAACATTTAGTGTTAGTAGACACTTTGTGAGTGGGAGTGGCTTTAGGGTGAGGGGAGGGGTTGAGGAGGGTAACAGTAAAACTAAAACTAAAAATAGGATGAGAAACAGATAGGGACAGGCTTACCATCTGTGTGTTGGTGGCCATTAGCTGAGGAAAGGAAGAGAAGCAGAAAAGAAAAGAAAGGCAAAAAGGGAGTAGGTAAAAGGAGGAAAAGAGATAGAGAAAGAGAGAAAGAGAAGAAAACGAAAGAAAAGAAGGAGAGGGAGGGGACAGGGAGCAAGAAAGTAAAGAAAAAATTAGGATGTTATAACTTAAAGTAAATCAAACAGGTAAAAAAGCAATCCAAAAAGGTTACTATGATTTAACTTAATGGCACAGAGAAAGATGTCTGGTCTGACTGATTAACCAGCATGCTTTGTGTCGCATAAATGAATGGGGAAGCACCTGTAATGACTTCAAACATACGCAAAGGAGGACAGACAAAAGTCTGCAAGCTAGATCAAGACCGCAGTTAAACCACAAGTATGTACATTACAAACCACAAAATAACTCACTCAACAAGCAGCGGCCACCCATTCAATCTGTATGCGACTGCTTTATTTGACTGAGAAAAACAATGAGCTCAAGAAATAAAAACGGCTGGTTAAGTTGATTAAATAAAACACACACAGAAAAATGTGAAAACAAAATCATGGTTTAGACAGTGACTGCGTTACCTGTCCGTTGCTGGTGAAGGTTGTGTTGTCGAAAAGGAAGAAAGCACCAAAGAAGAAGACCACGGCATCAAAAATCCCCAGAAATGTCCAGTAGATGAAGGTGGGCCATCTCAGGAGGGAATTCTTGGCAATATCTCTGTAAAAAGAAAGATATTAAAAATGAAAATATAAAGATAAATCGCATATCGTTTGCAAAACCACACTGTATTGTAAATGTTACACTTTACAGACCTTTAACAATGTACATTTAACATACAAGTGCATGCAATACATTATAAGCTACAAATTTCTAAATCATGAATAGGGTTATTATCAAAAACTAAAACTATTAAAAATATTGTTCATTGAAATAAAGCTCAAATAAATTACAAATATTAGATGAAAAACAATTAGAAATGCTGCTTTGGCAAATAACAAATTTATGTTAAAGCATTAAAATTACAAAATGGAAATTAATAATATCTAAAACTGAACTAAAAATAAATTAAACCTAGTGTAATATTTTAAAAAAAGAAGAAAAAAATTGGAAAAATGGGGAGATTATAAAAAGTATCTTTAATCTCACATGTTTCTGCTTGACACAATGAGATTAAATGAAGAACCAATGGAAAATCTACATTTATTCATTTAGCATTTTGCTGAAGTTTCTGCTTCTCAAATTAATAAACTCACATGCCACCTTTAGAGTTTCAGAAGAGATCTCAGGAATATCCCAAACTGAGCTCAGGTTTTGTAGTCTTTTATAGTATTGTTGGTATAAATGTATACCAAATGAAGTGCAACCGATACTAAACTGAAAAGCAAAGGAGCAGTCAAACATTTCATTGTAAGATCATATTGTTATTTTTGAGCGCTCTATGAAAACTCAGTTTAGTCTCAAACCACACTTGAGTTTGGATGGATCATTTCAAATGAAAGTGAAATTGGGGTCAGAAAAAAATAAGCATCACTTCTGCTGTGCTGTCCATTCTTACTTTAAAAACATATAGAAAAATTAAAAAGTATATATCAGATCAGCGCTTTTTCTAGTGAGAATGTCCTTGATGGCTACAAGTGCCACACTGTGTGTCAGTAATGAACACTTTATATATTGAACAAGCAATGCAGAGGAATAAGATTGAAAAAAAAAAATGCAGTGTCAGGACATTTGGTGATAAAATGTAGACCAGTTCTAACGGTATTTCTGCCCAGTGTAGTGTGTAAATTGAGTTTAGTGCAAGGGTCTGTGCAGATATGTTTGCCAAAGGCTGATGAAACTGTCCAATTATAGCAGCCTCGTATTTGGAAGCAGCGTGTTCATGTGATTAAGTGAGAAAACCTGGAGGCTCACAATCAGAAAGAACATTTTATAAAAGGGGAAAATATAGAGAGTGAGACTGGGCTACATCAGGCGGTTCATTAGATACAAAAATGATGCAAGGAAAATAAAAGTTTTCAAAAATCCAGATTATTTAAATTTTAATTTTAATTGAATCAGCATATTAAATGGTCCCTGAATGGGCCAGTGCTGTGCTGTCACTATGACTTACATTAGTTGAATATGTATATGCGTTTTAATTAAAGTGGGAAAAGCAAAAAAAATTAAATAAAAATAAAAACACTATTACTTAAGTATTTCAAAAGTGCTTTATGAATATGCTATGAAGTCTCAGGGACAACAAATCTCAGGATAAGAAATAATGAGTGTTTTGAGTCTCAGCGAACCAACAGCCATGCAAAAAGGAGGCCAAGGTGAGTATAAATAGCCAGTGTATAGACAGGGATTTATCAGTAGGTCTCACAGAGGGACCCAGAAATAGAATAGTGAACAGATAGTAAACGTGCTGACACGTACCACACGTCACGTATCAGCCAATAAAACAACTTCAACTCAAACCTAACTCCATACTGGTTTTCCATTTTGGGTGAATTGTTCTCATTGTTTAAACCTATGCTTTAAGTTTAAAGTATAATTATCGCATCACATTCAGACTATAGGTGTAGATAAAGGGGATGTTAGTGAAACCCAAATGTTCCTCACCTGTAGAGAGTAGGGTCCCGTTTGAGGATGTCCATGTTGATGTGCTGCTCCATCAGACTGTAGAGGAGGATGGGTAATGAGGTAAAGCTGATATTGTACAGGGTCAGATATGCCGTGTCATACAGTGGCTGCAGAGGGACAAAAACAATGAAACCAGTTTGCTATAGTTGCTGTAAATCAACAGTTAAGTTCAGTGTAAGCACAGAAGAGAAATAACTACATGCACTTTCACATTCCACGTGTCAATTTCAACATCTATTTCAAATGTAGTCTAATAGTGATAGACCTTTAAGACACTTTGAGGTATGCGTTTACCTGCTGAGAGAAGCCACAAAAGAACTGATAGAGAAACTGAGGGAAGATGAAGCACACATTCTGTGGAGAGAAAACAGACCCTCAGTACTTGATGTGCTCAACCCTTTAGGGGGATTGCGTGTGTGTGAATTCTGTTTGCTATAAATAGCGCTGCATTAGAGTTGCATTTTCAACAAGATTGTTCAGTGGTTTAGTCAGAACTCCTGGGAAAAAGTAGCATCCACACATATTAAGCAACTTTTTTTTCCTGTGTTTACAACCGCAGGCAATGTCGTTTGTGTTGTGTCAGCTAGCAATCAGCTATTTTGCTTGACATTATCTTTTTTATTTTGTGTCTACACATTTTGTTTGTTTGAGTTCACCTTATAGAAGAAGTACTGGACCAGCTCAGCAATTCTGATGTAGTAGTAGTGCCCGTGAACCAGCAGCATCTTCTTCAGGTGTTTGAACTTGGTAATTGCATAGTCGCTGTTACGGGCCGCCTGACGCCCCTCTTTACCCATGATCCCTAGAGGCAGAAAAACCAGTCAATAGGCATGCAAGATATTGCTGATAGTTGTTAAACAGAAGCCTATCAGAGATTTACTTCCTGGAGAAAGGATAACTTCTAAAATGATTTGTTTTTGTATGCGAGCATGAAATCACCTATGCCCACGTGAGCTTCCAGAATCATGCTGACATCATTGGCTCCGTCCCCGATGGCCAGCGTGATGGGGTGTTCTTTTGATGCTTTTATCAGCTTAACAATCTGAAAGAACAGTTTCATTTCTGAGAGATTAGATTATTAATCAGGGTTTTTGGCTGCTCATGTGACTGAGGCGATAGGATCATATCAATCCTATCTCAGACGAAGTGACTATTTGATTTGGATTTTACTGTTCGTTTCACATCAATAATTGTCTTGTAATGCTGTGACTTCTCTCACTTCTTGACTTTACAGTCTCTGGTTTTCCCAGCAGCCCCAGAGAGTGACTGGCAGGTTTAGCGTGCAGTAAATGAGAACGAGAAAGAGACCAGAGTCTCTTTTGATTGCGCCGTGTAACTCACAAGCTGAGAGATTACAATAAGGGAATGAGGACAACCATTCTCTGGCAGGTGGCTGTGTTTGTGTGAGTCAGGTATTATCATCATTGTGGGGACTAAATGTCCCCAAATAGACACCAAGACCTTTAGTCACCCTTAGTCAATAGAACCCACAAGGAAAATGGCTTAATACACAAAATATATAAGAAATATTTTTTACTCAGCAAGGATGCATTTAAGTGATCAAAAGTGACAGTAAAGACTTTTACATTGCAACAAAAATATGTTTAAAATATATGCTGCTCTTTTAAGCTTTTAAAAAATAGAACTGTGATAATAATAAGAAATGTTTCTTGAGCACCAAATCAGCAAGACTGAAGACTGGATTAATCGCTGCTGAAAATTCAGCTTTGCCATCACAGGAATAAATTAATTAAATAAAAAATTTATTTAAAAATATAATACATTTTTTTGGTTGATTTTAAATTTTAAAAAAATTATACTATTTCACAATATTACTGTTTTTCCTGTATTTCAAAACCCTTCATTCAAAAACATTAAAAAACCTTACATCTTACACCAATCATTTGAATGTTAGTGCATACTCTTTGAGACTGAAGTGCTGTAGTACCTGTGCTTTTTGTAAGGGTGCCATGCGACAGCAGAGAACAGCACTGCAGTTCCTGCAGATTTCCAGGAAAATCTCCTTATAGTTCCCTCCGTTGCTGGTTCCTTCCTGTGTTGGCTTCAGAACAGCTGACAGTGTCGCCCCATCGATTATCAGACCATAGTCTTGGCAATCACCTGAGAGCCTGTGGGGATCATTGTATGTGTGAAGGTGTCTGCGTGTGTGAGCATCTATGTGAGCACATAATGTATTCTACTGTACCTACCCTGAGAAAGTGTCCCTGGTAATGCTGCCATGCTGTCTCAGGACAGTTCTGCTCAGATCGAACAGGACGTCGTGGAGACTCTGCTCCTCTGTCCGCTTGGTTGTCAGTTCCAGGATTTGTGTATTGCGATGGAACAACCTGCTAGCATAGCATGTGGCTGCTGCCGCTTGCGTCAGTGCAAACCCTCAAAAAACTACTGTCAGGATTTACTATAGACACGCAGCGGGAAATTAGCGCTGAAAAGGTGTGGACACAGTTATTTTTGCGACTCACCTTATTGAATATGCATTTGTAGGATCTTTAAATTTATGGGAGGAGAATATTTAAATGAACCACGCAATGTGATTTACTAAGATTTGCGCTCGTCAATTAAAGTATTTGCGGCATTATTTAATGCCCAAAAAAAGCAGGCGGTAATTGCGCTGCTCTTGGTAGATTGCGCTGGTCATTATGGAAATGAGATGTTGCGTCTGTGTTCTTTAATGTGCACCTTGTCATTAAATCACCTGTACATTTTTTCCCTCCCATCGGCGCTTTAATGGAATTGCGCTCTAGCGCTAATTTGCCCTGTTTAGTAAATCTGGCCCCAAATGTTAAACGTATTAAATCTTATACATAATCTTATATACTTTTCACAAACAAATAAAATAAAATATTGAACCTCCAATTGTGTAAAAAAGGTTAATGAGTCACTAATGTATACCCTATTTGTGGAAAAAGCCTCCAGCATCCCTTCTAATTAAAAGTTTCGGAATAGATTCTCTTCCATTCAACATGTACTGTACCAAACAAAGTGAAATGTTGAATCCACATGTCCTCTTGTTCATTCATTTGCCCTTGCAGTGAGTCATGAGACGATGGATGTGTATCCTACAAGCCGATGAGGATGAGGATGACAACACCCCTCCAAATCGGGGGATTGCAAAAAACACAGTCGCAACGTGACACACGGGACGGACACAAACTCCTACTCGATCACAAGATCATAGACAGAGGAAGATGAACGGGGGGGTTTGCTACTCTATACCTACAGTGGCTGGTCCTCGGTACAGGGGACATTGGGATGCCGTAAGTGACTGTTTGAGAGCTACGATGGCAGTGAACATTTAGTGTTAGTAGACACTTTGTGAGTGGGAGTGGCTTTAGGGTGAGGGGAGGGGTTGAGGAGGGTAACAGTAAAACTAAAACTAAAAATAGGATGAGAAACAGATAGGGACAGGCTTACCATCTGTGTGTTGGTGGCCATTAGCTGAGGAAAGGAAGAGAAGCAGAAAAGAAAAGAAAGGCAAAAGGGGGGTAGGTAAAAGGAGGAAAAGAGATAGAGAAAGAGAGAAAGAGAAGAAAACGAAAGAAAAGAAGGAGAGGGAGGGGACAGGGAGCAAGAAAGTAAAGAAAAAATTAGGATGTTATAACTGAAAGTAAATCCAAAAAGGTTACTATGATTTAACTTAATGGCACAGAGAAAGATGTCTGGTCTGACTGATTAACCAGCATGCTTTGTGTCGCATAAATGAATGGGGAAGCACCTGTAATGACTTCAAACATACGCAAAGGAGGACAGACAAAAGTCTGCAAGCTAGATCAAGACCGCAGTTAAACCACAAGTATGTACATTACAAACCACAAAATAACTCACTCAACAAGCAGCGGCCACCCATTCAATCTGTATGCGACTGCTTTATTTGACTGAGAAAAACAATGAGCTCAAGAAATAAAAACGGCTGGTTAAGTTGATTAAATAAAACACACACAGAAAAATGTGAAAACAAAATCATGGTTTAGACAGTGACTGCGTTACCTGTCCGTTGCTGGTGAAGGTTGTGTTGTCGAAAAGGAAGAAAGCACCAAAGAAGAAGACCACGGCATCAAAAATCCCCAGAAATGTCCAGTAGATGAAGGTGGGCCATCTCAGGAGGGAATTCTTGGCAATATCTCTGTAAAAAGAAAGATATTAAAAATGAAAATATAAAGATAAATCGCATATCGTTTGCAAAACCACACTGTATTGTAAATGTTACACTTTACAGACCTTTAACAATGTACATTTAACATACAAGTGCATGCAATACATTATAAGCTACAAATTTCTAAATCATGAATAGGGTTATTATCAAAAACTAAAACTATTAAAAATATTGTTCATTGAAATAAAGCTCAAATAAATTACAAATATTAGATGAAAAACAATTAGAAATGCTGCTTTGGCAAATAACAAATTTATGTTAAAGCATTAAAATTACAAAATGGAAATTAATAATATCTAAAACTGAACTAAAAATAAATTAAACCTAGTGTAATATTTTAAAAAAAGAAGAAAAAAATTGGAAAAATGGGGAGATTATAAAAAGTATCTTTAATCTCACATGTTTCTGCTTGACACAATGAGATTAAATGAAGAACCAATGGAAAATCTACATTTATTCATTTAGCATTTTGCTGAAGTTTCTGCTTCTCAAATTAATAAACTCACATGCCACCTTTAGAGTTTCAGAAGAGATCTCAGGAATATCCCAAACTGAGCTCAGGTTTTGTAGTCTTTTATAGTATTGTTGGTATAAATGTATACCAAATGAAGTGCAACCGATACTAAACTGAAAAGCAAAGGAGCAGTCAAACATTTCATTGTAAGATCATATTGTTATTTTTGAGCGCTCTATGAAAACTCAGTTTAGTCTCAAACCACACTTGAGTTTGGATGGATCATTTCAAATGAAAGTGAAATTGGGGTCAGAAAAAAATAAGCATCACTTCTGCTGTGCTGTCCATTCTTACTTTAAAAACATATAGAAAAATTAAAAAGTATATATCAGATCAGCGCTTTTTCTAGTGAGAATGTCCTTGATGGCTACAAGTGCCACACTGTGTGTCAGTAATGAACACTTTATATATTGAACAAGCAATGCAGAGGAATAAGATTGAAAAAAAAAAATGCAGTGTCAGGACATTTGGTGATAAAATGTAGACCAGTTCTAACGGTATTTCTGCCCAGTGTAGTGTGTAAATTGAGTTTAGTGCAAGGGTCTGTGCAGATATGTTTGCCAAAGGCTGATGAAACTGTCCAATTATAGCAGCCTCGTATTTGGAAGCAGCGTGTTCATGTGATTAAGTGAGAAAACCTGGAGGCTCACAATCAGAAAGAACATTTTATAAAAGGGGAAAATATAGAGAGTGAGACTGGGCTACATCAGGCGGTTCATTAGATACAAAAATGATGCAAGGAAAATAAAAGTTTTCAAAAATCCAGATTATTTAAATTTTAATTTTAATTGAATCAGCATATTAAATGGTCCCTGAATGGGCCAGTGCTGTGCTGTCACTATGACTTACATTAGTTGAATATGTATATGCGTTTTAATTAAAGTGGGAAAAGCAAAAAAAATTAAATAAAAATAAAAACACTATTACTTAAGTATTTCAAAAGTGCTTTATGAATATGCTATGAAGTCTCAGGGACAACAAATCTCAGGATAAGAAATAATGAGTGTTTTGAGTCTCAGCGAACCAACAGCCATGCAAAAAGGAGGCCAAGGTGAGTATAAATAGCCAGTGTATAGACAGGGATTTATCAGTAGGTCTCACAGAGGGACCCAGAAATAGAATAGTGAACAGATAGTAAACGTGCTGACACGTACCACACGTCACGTATCAGCCAATAAAACAACTTCAACTCAAACCTAACTCCATACTGGTTTTCCATTTTGGGTGAATTGTTCTCATTGTTTAAACCTATGCTTTAAGTTTAAAGTATAATTATCGCATCACATTCAGACTATAGGTGTAGATAAAGGGGATGTTAGTGAAACCCAAATGTTCCTCACCTGTAGAGAGTAGGGTCCCGTTTGAGGATGTCCATGTTGATGTGCTGCTCCATCAGACTGTAGAGGAGGATGGGTAATGAGGTAAAGCTGATATTGTACAGGGTCAGATATGCCGTGTCATACAGTGGCTGCAGAGGGACAAAAACAATGAAACCAGTTTGCTATAGTTGCTGTAAATCAACAGTTAAGTTCAGTGTAAGCACAGAAGAGAAATAACTACATGCACTTTCACATTCCACGTGTCAATTTCAACATCTATTTCAAATGTAGTCTAATAGTGATAGACCTTTAAGACACTTTGAGGTATGCGTTTACCTGCTGAGAGAAGCCACAAAAGAACTGATAGAGAAACTGAGGGAAGATGAAGCACACATTCTGTGGAGAGAAAACAGACCCTCAGTACTTGATGTGCTCAACCCTTTAGGGGGATTGCGTGTGTGTGAATTCTGTTTGCTATAAATAGCGCTGCATTAGAGTTGCATTTTCAACAAGATTGTTCAGTGGTTTAGTCAGAACTCCTGGGAAAAAGTAGCATCCACACATATTAAGCAACTTTTTTTTCCTGTGTTTACAACCGCAGGCAATGTCGTTTGTGTTGTGTCAGCTAGCAATCAGCTATTTTGCTTGACATTATCTTTTTTATTTTGTGTCTACACATTTTGTTTGTTTGAGTTCACCTTATAGAAGAAGTACTGGACCAGCTCAGCGATCCTGATGTAGTAGTAGTGTCCGTGCACCAGCAGCATCTTCTTCAGGTGTTTGAACTTGGTAACTGCATAGTCGCTGTTACGGGCCGCCTGACGCCCCTCTTTACCCATGATCCCTAGAGGCAGAAAAACCAGTCAATAGGCATGCAAGATATTGCTGATAGTTGTTAAACAGAAGCCTATCAGAGATTTACTTCCTGGAGAAAGGATAACTTCTAAAATGATTTGTTTTTGTATGCGAGCATGAAATCACCTATGCCCACGTGAGCTTCCAGAATCATGCTGACATCATTGGCTCCGTCCCCGATGGCCAGCGTGATGGGGTGTTCTTTTGATGCTTTTATCAGCTTAACAATCTGAAAGAACAGTTTCATTTCTGAGAGATTAGATTATTAATCAGGGTTTTTGGCTGCTCATGTGACTGAGGCGATAGGATCATATCAATCCTATCTCAGACGAAGTGACTATTTGATTTGGATTTTACTGTTCGTTTCACATCAATAATTGTCTTGTAATGCTGTGACTTCTCTCACTTCTTGACTTTACAGTCTCTGGTTTTCCCAGCAGCCCCAGAGAGTGACTGGCAGGTTTAGCGTGCAGTAAATGAGAACGAGAAAGAGACCAGAGTCTCTTTTGATTGCGCCGTGTAACTCACAAGCTGAGAGATTACAATAAGGGAATGAGGACAACCATTCTCTGGCAGGTGGCTGTGTTTGTGTGAGTCAGGTATTATCATCATTGTGGGGACTAAATGTCCCCAAATAGACACCAAGACCTTTAGTCACCCTTAGTCAATAGAACCCACAAGGAAAATGGCTTAATACACAAAATATATAAGAAATATTTTTTACTCAGCAAGGATGCATTTAAGTGATCAAAAGTGACAGTAAAGACTTTTACATTGCAACAAAAATATGTTTAAAATATATGCTGCTCTTTTAAGCTTTTAAAAAATAGAACTGTGATAATAATAAGAAATGTTTCTTGAGCACCAAATCAGCAAGACTGAAGACTGGATTAATCGCTGCTGAAAATTCAGCTTTGCCATCACAGGAATAAATTAATTAAATAAAAAATTTATTTAAAAATATAATACATTTTTTTGGTTGATTTTAAATTTTAAAAAAATTATACTATTTCACAATATTACTGTTTTTCCTGTATTTCAAAACCCTTCATTCAAAAACATTAAAAAACCTTACATCTTACACCAATCATTTGAATGTTAGTGCATACTCTTTGAGACTGAAGTGCTGTAGTACCTGTGCTTTTTGTAAGGGTGCCATGCGACAGCAGAGAACAGCACTGCAGTTCCTGCAGATTTCCAGGAAAATCTCCTTATAGTTCCCTCCGTTGCTGGTTCCTTCCTGTGTTGGCTTCAGAACAGCTGACAGTGTCGCCCCATCGATTATCAGACCATAGTCTTGGCAATCACCTGAGAGCCTGTGGGGATCATTGTATGTGTGAAGGTGTCTGCGTGTGTGAGCATCTATGTGAGCACATAATGTATTCTACTGTACCTACCCTGAGAAAGTGTCCCTGGTAATGCTGCCATGCTGTCTCAGGACAGTTCTGCTCAGATCGAACAGGACGTCGTGGAGACTCTGCTCCTCTGTCCGCTTGGTTGTCAGTTCCAGGATTTGTGTATTGCGATGGAACAACCTGCTAGCATAGCATGTGGCTGCTGCCGTCTCCATTTTGTCCCCTGTGAGGACCCAAACCTTCATACCAGCCTTGTGCAGGGACTCAATGGTGTCGGCTGCTTTATCCTGCAGCCTGAAACATAAAATGACAACCAAGATGATTTTAAAAGCGGTTCATGTACAAAGTTAACACAATGTCGATATAATGAGCCAGTTGGGGTGCCTATTTACCACCGAATCGTCACTTAACTAATGACCAATCCGACCTTAGCAAATGTTGACAATCGCCATATTACCTTTCTTATGTAAGTTTATGGAAGTCCTGAGTGTTTGGATAGTTTTAAATGCAATTTTAAATAAACTTTCAGTTTGCAACGTTTTTAATCACATTCCTGTGTAATTTAATGTTTTACACCATCTAAGTGTATCTTAGATCTAAGTAAGTTTGAAGCTAACTATCTAAGTTTGAAGTTAATATGTCACACTCTGACATAAATAGTAGCCAAAGAACAACATCAAATATACAGAGTGACAATTAAGCAGTTATTGCTTTGACAGCCCAATTGTCTCAATTGTATAGTAGCAGCAGAAAGATTTGGCATAGTATATAGCAATCCTGTGTGCTTTATTCTTTGCGCAGTGCTGGAGTGAAAGTTAATGGACAGTGCTCTGCATGGCTCGGTGGCACGGAGGTCTTCTACTGCAGTGTGATGTCTCAGCCCACTTCACTCAGTAATTAAGCAGCCCAGCAGTCAGGATTCACAGTGTCACCGCTGCCAGAAAATTAAGACTCCACCCCCCACTGCACCTCACTCACAGCCCAGCCATGTAGGAAGTGACATTCTCACAAAGACTCCCAGGAAGAAACCACAAGACGTTCAACTACACTACCTATTAAACATTCTAATAACATGAATTGCATTTCACTTAACAACATTCTATTGAAGCTAAGCAAATTCCCCAAGTTAAGCAACATTCTATTTGAGTCATAACATTCCTTCTGACTTCCCCAAAATCCTATTTGGCTCGTATTTAAATCTTGGCTTAAAGTTGACACAAAATCAGATTTTATGTTATATGCTTCCTTAAATACACTTTCCTGGCCTTCTTGTGCAAGATTAATGTGCTTTATTTAAAAAAAAAAAAATCCACTGTCTTCATGATAACATGCTCTGTCTCTAAAATGACTTTTCTTTGCAAATGATGTCACCTAGGCCAAGGGGGCGGGAAAACTAATGTAACCCATTAGCCAAATAGCTATTTAAGGCATTGTATTAGGCTGCTGTTAGTTGGCAACAGTTAACACTAGTTTAACAGTAATTTAATGCTGAATAACTTTAATGTAACACTGCAGTCTTGCATTCAAGTCAGGCTCTATTCTGCTATAGAGCACCCACTTTTCTCTATGAAATCAAATTCCCAATAGATAAAAATAAAGTCCCACCCTTCTTTTTTACTTGCTGAATATCCTGTTGCACTCAGAAACACAACCCTTAAGGGCGCAGTGACATTTACAGAATTTTTTGGGTGAAATCCAGTCATTTCTGTATTTCAAGTCCAGTCACCACATTAACACAGATTTCGCAACGGGTCGGTCATGTGAATATACCGCATTGACCAACATAAAGCTGCTTGATTTGAATGTGACTTCTGTGTGAGCTGTGCATCATACATTGCTACACAACTGACGACAGACAATGGACCTTTTAGCCCACAAAAACGTAACTACATTTATAGAAGTAAAATCTGTTGCCATTGCCATGTCAACTTGAGTGTTTCAGGGATTTTATAAAAAAAAAAACATTACAAATAGTTAACGCTGCCCGTTATCAAATTAGCTTCCTGTATATTTGACTATAACACATGATCTTGAGTGACCTCTTGAAGACACAAACTGCCTACAGGGCACTGATTGCATCTAATCAACCCAGCCTGACAAAATAAGTTCCCGTCCAGTAATCACTATTTGTTTGCTCTGTCATATTCATTAAGGCGGCCAACATGGATTGATGTGTTTATTTATAACGTTGGGTTGGATGGCATCCATAAGTGCATAAGCCAAAACAGTAGTTCATCAGAACCGTGTCTGCCGGCCCCCGATTGATTCAAGAGGGGGTCTAATTACGTTAGCTGCTCATTATCAGGACACTGGAGCCTAACAGATGGACTCTATTGATTGCCTGTGCAATTAACATTAACTCACGCTGGTTCTGTCAGGGTGCTCACGTGAGCTTCAAACGGACGCTGGGCCTGTAACTCTTCCATCCAGTTGTAGGGCCGATCGGAACCTTGGCATTCAGCCAGTTATCAATCTAATATTGCTAATGCACATCCATTCTCCATTTCAGTTCAGGGAAATGCACCTTGTTTATTTAGGCGAACGCATAATGCAATTTATGGAAAACATAAGTTATTATTAACATGCTGATTTTTTTACAGCAACATGCAACTTGGAAAGCAATATCGGACTTGCTCAGAAATGCATCGGACGTCATGGTTCCATTTTTTGACACTATGGATTTTTTGATGGCGTAGTTGGCAGGAGCGAGAGTGAATGAGGCCCTTACTGAATGGTAATCTACATACTCACAAATGAATGACTTTAAGTGACACTACCATAACAAAAAACCTGAAAAAATGAAGTGTTTCCCTGATTCTCTATAGTCACTCCTGTGTAGCTACAAACTTGTAAATTGCTGGGAATGTACTGCAAGTCTTAGACTGTAATAAAACATTAAAATTAAACACTCTTTGATGTTTTTGGAACATACTCAAATCACCATGCATAACAATACTAAAATATTTCGCTCAAGTTATTCACACATAATTTGTAAAAAAAAAATTTTTTTTTTAAATCTCATCATGCTGGACAACAATAGAATTTTTTTCAATTAAATTTTTTTGCTCAAATTATTATTCACGTATCATTTGTTTAAAAAAAAAAATCTCAAATCATTCTGGATAACAATAAGAATTTTTTCAATTAAGTTTTTCCTATTTCCACTGTTGGTCTCAGACATCTTGATCCCACTGTCTCTACTGTACCTTTAAGTGGTAGAGTTATTTGCATTTGCGCTCTGAATTTGACAAAGGAATACTGAACATGAAATGGTTTGGATTCCACTCTGTTAGCTTTTTCTAAGTTCTCAACTTTGAAATCGAAAGTTTGATTCACTTCAGTACAGGAATTTTTAAACAAGTCAATCAAACCTAGATGGTATTTGGTAAATGTTAATCAGGTTGACTGTGAGTCAGGAGGCAGTGATTCACCTATCTTCCACAGCCGTGGCTCCCAGCAGGATGAAATCCTTTTCGATGACATCATAAACTTCAGCCAGTTTCTTGTCACGCTCCTGCAGAGCTAGTTTAGCGCTGTTGAGGAGACGGCACGTTTCCTCATACTCCTCATGAGTCAGCTTCTTATAAGCAACACAAAGAGTCCGTAATCCCTCCTACAGGGGGAAAGATTTGAAACAAAAGTGTCAGCTTAGCCTGCCAGGTCCATTCATTTACAAAAAGAGCCTAAATTCAACTCCAGAATTCATTCTTTTTTATAAAAACAGCATTAATCTTGGACATAAATATAGGTTTAACTAAGAATAAGCATAATATAAAGGAAAGAACAATACCGTTGCTAAAAAAAAATGAAAATTGTAGCATTATTTATATTTACTCACCCTTGTATTGTTCCAAACCTGTGACTTACTTTCTTCTGTGGTACAACAAATGGAGATATTTTAAAGAATGCTCACACTGCTCTATTCAATAGAATGAATCATGTGGTGATCACAAGCTGCCAAGCTCCTAAAAAGTATGGAAGCTTATTTCCACCGCCACACGGAATAAAAAAATGGTAACTGTGACTCAAAATTTAGAGTTTTTATCTTGTAATTGTGAGTTAACATCTCGCAATTCCGAAAAAAAAAAAAACAGAATTGTGAGATAAAAAGATTTTCAAATTTCTTTTTATTCTGTCGTGGAAATAGGCTTCTACAAAAGCCACATAAAAAAGCCTGTATGACTTAAACAATACATCCCATGTCAAATGTTACGTTTTATGCACTCAAATGTTATTTTTATGGTGACATCTTTGTCTTATTAGATCTGATTTTGCTGTATGCAAAAGAGCAGTGTGAACATTTTGCAAAACGTCTCATTTTGTGTTCCACGTAAAAAAGAAAGACATACTGGTTTAGAACGGCATGGGGGTGAGTAAATAATAACACAATTATCATTTGTTGGTGAGCTATCCCTTTGAAATGTAGATTATTAAATAACAAAAATGCTCTAGTAGAAAAGTCTCCATTATCACTATTAATAAAACACTACTGTTCTGCAGACAGTCTTGAAAACAAAGATTCAATTTTGTCTGTCTCTACAGAAACCTTTTCACTATGGCTACCAAAATCATGAATCAGCATAGACACCAGTGCAACCAAACCCCTTTCTAAAGTGATGTCATTCCTGACCCAGATCTGTGAGTAACACAATGAAGTAACATAGAGCTGTGTTAAGATCCATTCCTCATGCCTGGGACCATAATTATATTCTTTTTCTGCAAATGACTCCATATATTTGTCAAGTTGAAGATCATTATATTCATTAGATTATCAAGAGCAAAAAGTACAAATGACTTCTGGGTCCTACAGATACATTAAACTAATAACGGTTGTTTCTAATACTCATCCCTCTTATGAAAGCTAATGAGATCAGTGTTGGGCCGCAGTGTGAGAACACATAAATAGAAAGACAATAGACACATTGTCTTTGCTCCGTTTGATTTTCAGTGATGTTTAGGTACTCTTTCAGCTCTCTTTGAGGATGACGTTCATGCTAAACAAAAGTTGCACAAGCAAACACATGTGAGAGGAGCTTTTTTCCATCAAGATCTAGGAAGGAGCTTTTGTGGCTTATAAATAGCTCTGCTAAAATAAGAAAGAAGATGAAGATGTTTCCGATTTCTGCTCACCACAGCGTTGTGCTCTACTCGCGCTCTGATCTGCTCCACCTTTCCAGAAACCACCCGTGGAAAAATAGAAGAATCCGCACCTTTACAGAACAAATAGTACTCTCCTAGAACAAACAAACAATTATCAACACAAAGTGTTAAAAGCTACAAGGAAGAAACTGCACAACCACCAGTATGTCATGCTTTCAATACATTTATAATAGGTAAAGCAATATTTTTCTGTAATTCATGAAATCAAACTAATCTATTTGTCTTTGAGATTTTATATATTTTTTCTGTTCTCCTCTGAAATGCATCATAGTATGATAGTAAAATGGGTCACAAACATTGTTACATGTTGACTTTAAATTAGCACATTAGTTATGCTGTCAGGCTTTCAATGTATTCCAAGAATATCCTAATTGCCTTTTACATTAGAAGATAAGTTATCAGGGTCAATTGTATGTAAATGAATGTATTCAGGAATCATACAGATGTCTAAATCTTGCTCTCATTTGTATGCTAGTAGCGCATTGACCCACTTGCATTAACTGGCGCCTTCATTTGGGCGCACATAGTGACTCAGAGACCTTCAGTGGAATGTGTAACAGTCACTCGCAGTTCCAGAATGAGTGTGCATGTGTGTGTTTACTCAGCAATGCGTTGAGGACAAAATTATCCCCAGACATTAGCTAAATCCCTTTGGGGATGTTCTGAGATGGGAAAATCATTCATAAATAAAGTGAATAATTAGGGCTGCCAATCTCTAAAATTGTAATCAATTGATTACATGACATGCAGATTAATCAAATCAATCACAAATAACTGCACATATCAATATTTCCAGAGATCATTCAAGGACATATTATTGTGGCAAAATAAAACATTGAATAGACATGACAATATTGCCTTATAAGTTCATATATTTGTATTATTTCTATTTCATTAAACATAACTCAACATCACTAACCTCAATAAATGAATGAATGAATGTCAATTAAAATGAATTAATTAATTAAAAAATGTAATTATTAACATACTGTTCAAAAGGCATGATTAACTGCAGTATTTTTAGCACATTTTAAATACTTAATCACACAAAATTGAACATGTTAAAATGACAAAAGTTTTCTTTAGGCCAGGAATTAATTATATAGTACATAATTACACATTCATTATGCGTAATAATTATAATTAACTTTATATGTCCTCATTTAGATTGCCAAGTAAATATGTGTGTGTGTGTGTGTTTGTGTGTGTGTGCCTATTTAATTTTGAGAATACATTTGTACTCAGAAGTCAGCTGAATGACAAAAATCTCCTTTTGGGGGACGTGAAGTAAAAAAAAACTAAAAAAAAAAAAAACTGTAAAATTATCGAATGTCTCCATTTAGATAAAGTTATGCAAGTAAAAGTTGTGTGTGTGTTCATCCTACCTGAGCTTGATCTTACGATAACACTCATTCTCCTCCTCACTGAATCAAAGTTCAACACCTCCAACAGCTCAAATCTGTTAAGAATAAACACAAAAAGACAATGTTGCAAGCGTTTAGATTAAAAAAGTTAACAGCTCTACTATTACTAACTAACTACATTTATGTACACATAAATCAGTGGAATATGTAACATTGACTGAGTCCTTTGGGTTATATCTTTATCACAGACAGACAGAGTTTTTATGTGACTGCGCTCCATGCTGACCCTCGTGTTCTCAGCTGTAGGACAGTGTGTAGCTGCACTAATTATGGCTGGTCCTTGTCCTTCAAGGACACACACACACACACACACACACATACACACACACACACACACATACTCCATCTCACAAACACCGGTCCTATTACAACACTTCCTAAACAGGGGAACTTTGCTTCCCACAACATACTGTACAACGTGTTATTTTAATAAACACACAATGACATTTATATGACAACCTGCTGAGTAAATACACAGATGATTACAGATTAGGCTGAGCAAACTGTTCCTTTGCTGAGGTTTCTTTCTCACACAGCATGTGGCAAAATACATAGCATGACAAGAAAATTAAAGCTGCAGTCACCACAGGGGGTGAAAGCAGCCCTGCTAGTGGTGTGGTATGAAGCTAAATGCTTGTTTGTAAATTCTATGTAGATAAAATTTATATATATCTTCTATTCATTTTTTTACTTTTACATTATTCTATTTATTGTACTATTATTTTGAAAAAAAAAATATTAAAATTATTTTTTATAAAATACAGTTTTAATATTTAATATTCATTTAATCAAAAATAATTATAAAACGATTTATGGTAATAATCTGTATTTAACATATTACGTAAGATTGTGGGTAAAACTACTTTCTCAGACTGATAAGACTGTCCAAAAGCATCCAAATGCTGCTAGTTTCCTGTTGGTCATTGCACTCATGCTGTTTTCCAGATGGCTCACCTCTCCATCTCATCCTCTCTGTTGAGGATCTCCATGTGACTGTCCTTCAGACGGAGATAGGTGAAGCCCAACCTGAACAGGTGAGAGAAAAGGAAGGCAAACTTATTGTGTTATTGTGATGAAGGGTTAAGGTTAGACACAACAGTATGCACAGCAAATGTAGGGTTCAGAAAATGGTCATAAAAATGTTTGGACTGTTTAGGGTTAGGGTTATGCAATCCCAAATTGAGACACAGTATGTCAAAACCTGGAGGCTAGAGTATAAATGATCGTGGGTCTGTGTGATCGCATGCATCTTGCCTGTTCATGCCCTCCACCAGCGCAACCTCATCTGGAGAGGAGGAGATGTAGAAGGAGGTGGATTTGCCCTGATGGATTCCTCTCTTAATGCCATCCACCGTCTCCTCTTCCTTCACCTGGACTGTGTGACAGAGGCACAGCGCACGGAAAAACAGCTCCTCTCGCTCCTGATGAGACACACATATTCACACGTTTGCACTGAAATACTGCACACAAAGCTGCTGCTTTATTCTTAAAGCAAAAAGACTTTTTAAAACAGTAAAACATTACTTTTAATAATAATAATAATATGTAATGGCATGAGGCAATCCAGGTATCACACACACACACACACTATTTCCCTTTACTTAAGAGTGAGTCGTCTCAGTGGAACAGAATCATTCATCTGTTTCCTCACACACCAGAAGAAAGGAAGACAGAGAGACTAGCAAAAAGAGATTAAGTGACAGAGAGATAAAAGGAGAGAGAGAGAGGCTATCTGTGTCTAACTCTGAACAAAATGCAGTCAATACTCATGTATCCAGTAAATATTTGGATACAATATGATACAAGCAGGCATTAAAAATCTCAACAACAGTGAACTCTGATATTTCACTTTATTATGCACATGCACACAATATAATTCTAACAGAAACTATTTTGAGTTTATCCAAACTGCTATTCATAAAAATCACATTCAAAAACACAACTGACAAGAGATGTGATGGGAAATTTAACAAGTTACAAATTCTTTAATAGATGGTTTAGCTAATCTGCTGAATTAATGTCACGTTGCTCTAAGCTCATTTATCAAAGATAAAATTAGAATCCATCCATCTTTCCACTCATCCACAGCTAAAACATTCATACAAAAACTTGCCTTTGCGATAATATGATTTATCTGTGCAATGAAACATAACTCGCCGCTCACAATAACACGTTCATTCTCTCATTGTACAAAAGTTTTTATAGCTTCTTTATCAAATGTCTAAAGTGGTCCAAAGTGTATCTGCATACTTAAGTCACACTTAATAATAATGAAATGTCATGGTATTAGATTAAAAAAAATACATAATGTATTTATTTTGAATAAAGATGGGGAAACTTGAAGTAAAGAATCACGTCAGGTTGTTAGATGTTTGTTTTAATACTTTATTTATTTATCTACTGCATTTTAAGCATGTAAAATATAAATTTTTAATTTGTGTTTTCTATTTCAATATATTTTAAAATGCAATTTTTTTGCTGCTCAAGAAACATTTCTTATTATCATTGTTGAAAACAGTTGTGCTACTAAATAATTTTTTGGAAACCATGATACATTGTACATTTATTTTATTTTGAAATTGAAACCTTTTGTAACAGTGTTTCCTGTCACTTTTGCTTGCGAAATAAAAACATATATATATAAAAAAAAAAACTGACTCCAACTTAAAAGTTTAATATATGTTCAAATACCCACTGAACTGTGATTTTCCAACAGTTATGGAAACACAGAAAAACAGAAAACAAGCTCACCTTTCCATCTACGCCCGGAGAGGAGTCGATCATATCCATTCCGGCAGCTCCAGGTAAGATCTGCCCGTTACAGACGGCATGTGGCACGTAAACATGCCCATCCACACAACATTCCCTCAACTCCATGTTATTTTCTGTCAAAGTGCCAGTCTTGTCTGTGAAGACATATTCCACCTGTGATGAAGAAAGAACAGAAACGGTGAACCAATAATGACCCTGGGAGCAGTTTTGGAGTGGACTGAAGAGGTTTCCTACCTGTCCAAGTTCTTCATTAAGATCTGAGGTATTGACGAGCGGTCCCTCTCCGAGCTCCTCATCAAACATGTCATCGTCCCACAGGATGAAGTACGAGCCAAGGAACTTCTGCATCTCCACAGTCACATACATGGACACAGGAATGATGTAGTTGAACAGAACCATGAAGGCAAGGAAATCTGTGAATGCCCGGATTAACTGAAGGGACAAAAAGCAGGGAATTAAATAAGCGTGAGTTTGTGCAATTGTTTTGCTTTGATGGTGTTAATGACATGAAAGCATAAAATATAGTTAGCATATACAATGGAGGCCATAATTTGGAATAATTAAGATTTTTAATGTTTTTGAAAAAAGTCTCTTATGCTCACTGAGGCTGCATTTATTTGATCAAAAAATAAAGTAAAAACAGTAATATTGTGAAATATTATTACAATTGAAAATAATTGATTTCTTTTTTAATACATTTTTTAAAAAGTTATTAATATTATAAAGTGATTATAATAATAATTATAAATGTATTATTTCCATGATGCAAAGCTGAATTCACATTCAGTGTCACATGATTCTTCAGAAATCTAATATGCTGATGTGCTGCTCAAGAAACACATCTTATAATTATGTATAAATAGTACATAGTAGTACAAAGTAGTACAAAAATAAATCAAATACATTTTAATAAAAACAAATAACAAAATATTTTATAAAAACTAAGTTTTCACACCAACAGAATTTGTCATTCTCTGAAAAAGCAAAATTACTTACATTTAAAAAAAAAAAATACATATATAAAACAAAACAATAAATAACAAATATAAAAATAATAATAAACTGTAATAAATGATTAAAAAGTTAAATAAAAATAAAAATATAATAATAATAAGCATTGTTTTATAGCACGTACTACATGCCGTTGCCTCTCAGTCTCAGTTTTCTGGTTGTACCAGGGCTCATCTCTGTTTGGGTTGGCCTGCCAGGCATACTTCAGGACAGTATTGATCAGAGCTTTACTGATCAGAATGCAGAGGTAAACAATCAGGTAGGCGTTCATAGACCTGCAGGACAAAAAGCGATGAGATGATCCAAGACACGTAGTATGAGCATAATAATTTTTGGACCTAGTGGCAAAGACACATATCATACATCAGGGTGACAAGATTTAACCGCAGTAACTTTCCCTGAGGGTCTCTGAGTTTAATATCCCTCTTTTTCAGAAAAAATAAAAATATCCTGTCCGAATGACATCTACAATATTAAATTAAATTAAGTCTAAAAAAAAATACAAATCAACATTTATTTGATTGAAAAAGTCAATGTTATCCAAACTCTGAAAGGAGATCTCTGAAAGTACACCTGCTTATTCAATATAAACATATTTTACGTGTTTTCTTAATGGCTGCATCTATCTGTCTGACAGAATTGCCAGCGAGACACATGTGAGTGCAACTTGATACAAATTGTGACATCAAATACAGAAGCCCGCAATTTGCTTTACAAACAGCACACTAAATGCATTACCCTGTACATGCTGACAGCAAGATAAACTGATCGAAAGCCTATCACCGTGTCTTACTTTTCAACAGCGGAGCGTTTCTGAGACTTGGATTGGTAGTTGAGGGCCATCTTGGTTTCCATGCCCGTATAGATGGCCACAGCTAGAGAAACAAGAGAGGATGAAGAGCATTTTGAGATCATAATTCCCCTCTATGACTGTCTCTGTACGGCCTCTTTGACGCTATGATAATATAAAAGCCACTGTTACATAACTGAGCTCTTTTTGTCCTACCGTACGGTGCCATTACGTCATAATGGCTCGGCTGTAACAAAGTTAAACATTTTGGCTACATTCACACTGTCAGATTTGAGATTGACAACGGCATTTTCTTTACAGGTGTGAGTCTCGAAATATCCCGTTCACACAGCAGCTTACAGTTGTGTTTAGAATACTGTCTGTATGAACGTGCAACTGGAGTCAAGCCCGTATTCCTTACCAGTAATCATAGCGACAGTGACCAAAGTAAAATCAAAGATGGCGACGTCCATAAAACTGAAAGTCTTATCACTTTCTGACACAACAAGAGTCCAATCGAGCCGCGAGTTCTTTCGTCAAATCTTCATTAACCGACAGCAGCTTTTATATTTGGGTGGAGAGCGGAGCATTTGAATCGCGCGCAGAACACAAAACTGACGGGATCTAAAACTTTCAGATGACACCCAGCTCATTTTTCCGTTACTGTAAGTTACCGAAAACACACATGAAAACACGTAACACACGTAGACGTGCGTTTGTGCAGCAGAGCGGCTTTCTCTCGCACTGTATGATGTGACAGACAACTAGTTGTCCAGTCCTGTTCCGTTCACACAGCGCGTGTGTTCCGAGAATGCGGTTGTGAGTCTTGAAAATTTACAGGTGTGAGTTCGGTTACAGAATGCGGTTGTCACACCCGTAAATAACCGAACTGTGTGTGAACGTAACCGTATTAAGGACTCAAATACAGGACTGACAACCGTATTCTGCTGCTGTGTGAACGTGACCTTTGAGAGCTTGCCCTGCTCTTAGAATCCTCACGTGTATAATGTGACATTCATCTCCCTCTCTCTCTCTCTCTCTAGCAATTAAGAACTTCTTTCTGATCTCACAAGCCTCAGTGACTCATTTAATTACAGTGGGAACGGAGTGACAAAACGACTCAATCAGCAACTCTCCTCTCTTGTTCTCCTGTCCTTCCTATTGCCTAAAAAAAATCACATTAGCATTGTGCCAGATTATAGTGATGGATCTTAGCATAGACATCAATACAATTAGACTGAGTGCAAACAGTGTTCCTAAGGAACACACAAACTAATACATACTGTATATATACCTTGAATCGACTGCAAATATAATTAATGTGTATGTGCATAAATGAAACATAAATATGTAGTGTTGTTTTTAAATACCATGTATGTATTCAGTGTTTTTCAGTGTGGCTCCACGTAGCAGCAGGTTCTCAGAACCCAGGGGTCTAAAATAATCAAACAGATCAAATGCAGCATTACAAACATGATTATTCAACAAAATTATGCTCACATCTTTTTACAGTGTGTATGTGTTGTACTGCAAGTTCATCTGTCACATTGCAGGACTATTTTAAATTTTAAAAAAATTAATGTAAAAGATAAAAAATTGTGAAATGTTAAATGGAAACGGTAAATTAAAAGAAATGGTGACCAGTTAAAGCAATGAAAATATGAACTACATATACTTTCATTAAAACACAAAAATGAACACACATGAAACAGTCATGCTATGTATAAACTATCCTAATATAACATATAATAAATTACCTAATTATATAATCTTGTTCATTTTAAATACTCTATTTACTCAGATTTATTAACATATTTGCATATGTGAAATTTACCAAGATAACAATATTTGCTGTATTTTATTATATGAAATGCAATATATATTACATATACTATTATATAATATTAAACATTTTGTATTTATTTAATTTCAATACTGTATACGTTCATATTTATTTACATAATTGTACCAAATACAACATAGAACATTTTTAATTAAAGTTAGAGTGGATTGCAAGGAAAACTAAAGAGGAGCAGAATTCTTTAGTAAGAATCAGAATTGGAAGAGAGACCTGTTCTATGAAAATGATAAAGTGTCCCTCCTGAATTCAATCTTTCACACACTGGCCCCTTAATTAAGAGTCAATTTCCTGAGTATAGATTTACCTCGCGATGGGCTCGTCTCGATCCAAATAAATATTGATGCGTCCCACAAATCTATAGCAGCAGAAGAAGAAAAGACAGAAATAATGTCTAGTCTGGGCTCTGTGTCAATGTGTGTGTGTGTGTGTGTATAAAGACACCATGTGAGGATATTTGTGTGGGGTATCTGGAGTGTGCGGCATGCTGTTGTGCCAGTCCAACAGTAGTTCTATGCACAATCAGTGTCTGTAAGAGAAAGCGAGGGTTTGTTTATGTGTTTTCTGCTGATATATGTGTGTATCACTCACTTGTACAGGTCTGGCTGGGGTTGCTCGCATTCTATCGTAGCGTGTAGTGTGTCCACCTCCTCCGCTGTTTTGAATGCCTTTGTGTCCTGAACTGCATAATAGGTCTTTGTATAGAGAGGAGAGCACGAGAGAAAACAGTCGGCATTCCAAGGTCAAAAACTCTCACACACATTTCTACCATCTCCCATCTAATATGAATTACTGGCAGTGTGCTTTATAGTGTAGTCAAAACAATTCAGTCACAATGTATAGAATAAAACCCTAATGTTAAGTTTTAGGAATAATAACAGTAACATGTTTGCCTTTCTATAAAATGACCAATCACCTTATGGCTGGACTCTCCATCTAAGCTGGCTGTCGTGACGAAACATGTTCCATCTTCTCGACTGGTGGAGAGCAGTATGAGGTCACATGGAAATGTCTCATTCTCTTTAACCTGGACAATATCACCCACCTGAAAGGTCAAAGAGCAAGAAAGGGTCAAATTCAACATTTACAGTAACAGTTTGAATCAAATAACAACCTGAAGATAAGTGAGAATATTTTACATTGTGCTGTACTTTTAGGAGTAGGAAAAAGTAGTGGTAAAGAGTGTAATTTTTATGTCAATGGCAACATCATAACTAACTGCAAAAATTAGGACTGATTCCAAACAGCCTCCAGCAACCATTGTTTGGACAAAACCAGCAATCCTGGATCAAACTCACACCATTTGTTGAGCAAATGTTGATACGATAAGACAATGAAACAAACTACAGAAAATACACACTGTGACTTTAAGAACAGGTCATCCAGTGTTCATCATTTCTTGGTCATTTTATCATACGAATATCTAAATATACTTCTGGAGTGACCTAAATACTCAAGTATTATAATGTTTTCAGTATGTTCCCTGACAGGGTGCTTGAATAAAGTAAGATATATTAAAGCTGTGCGACATCAATATCAACGAATCAGCTATAGAAATGAGCTGCCACTTACACAACAGTGGAATAATAAAAAATCATACTCATGAATCTACATAAATGAAAATCCTGATCCTGGTTGTTGTTCCTGCTGGCCTGTCTGCATGTGTTGCGTAACGGATTACAGATGCTGACCGGATTATCAGTAGGAAAAGCTGTAATGGTAAGTATTCAAGCACATTCTCTCTTTATCATCACAGCTTCCAGTGTTTTTCCACTGTGCTTTAGTTTTATATACAATTTTATATTCTATATTGTAAGAGAGAGAGAGAGAAAGAGAGAGCAATAGTTTCAAAATTAAATAACAAAGGATTCCCACTGCATTGTGGGTAATGTGGGCACACTGTCATTCTGCTTGTTGACAGGCCAACATTCTGTTTCCAAACAGCAAGCTGGCTGTGTAAGCAGAAAGCTGGTTAGTAGAGCGAACTTTGTTGATTTATTTATCTGAGAATTAAAAAAAAAAAAACATTTTCAGAGCTGAAGTGTGTAATTTTTAGCATAATTTTTTTTTTAACCTATGCCAGCTTAATTTACATACATGGTAAGCCATTTACAAGTTGATTTCCCGAAAAATGCAAACACCATGGGACTTTCAAAACACTGCTGTTCATTTAAGCATCCTGAGCAGCCCAACACTGGCCCAACCAATGGTATGAGTTTGTTTCACCAATGGACTGTTCGGGGAAACCTGTTTGAAAACAGTCATGTTTTTCAAATCCATGTGGTGGCGCTAACGGCACAATTCACTAATCTATATGTTGTCAGTTGTTGTCATATGTTGTCATCCGCACCCGTAGCTTTTGACTCTGTTTGCGTACGACTTTGCCATGCTGGATGACGTGGACTGGACATTGGTTTATAGCATTGTCCGCTTTGTGCCTGATCCAGTCCTCATAGCCCTGCAGAGAGTTAGAGGGGTGAAAGAGACCAATGAAGGAGTGACGTTACAATTATGACACCTATTATAGAGGAAAGTTAAGGGTCTTTTCTCACCTGTTTAATGGCTGTGACCGTGATGACAAAGAAAAGAGGCAGACCGCTGGTCGTAGGACTGGTAGGTGTGTCAATGATCAGCTACAGAGAGAGATGGTGAGAGGGGAAATATCACACATCACGCTGTCACAGAAAGGCCAGCTCATGCTAATAGGACAATTTCTATAAGCGACACCATCACAAACCTGCACTAGAAAGATGATCAGAAAATAGAAATTGGCGATTCTTCTGAACTGCTCAAAGAGATTCTTCGGTATAAAATTCCAGAAAGTATACTGTGGAGAAAAAGAGATATGTTTAACAAAACAAAACAAAACAAAACAAAAAAACAACAAAAACCAAACCAAACCAAAAACAAAACAAAAAAACTAACAAAACAAGAAACCAAACAAAACAAAACTAGAAACAAAACGTAAAACAAGAAACAAAACAGCTTTATGCTTAAAACAAGCAAAAATATACACTTTCTAATGCAAATGCAGCTATTATCTTACACAATTTTACGTCTCAGGTTGTTTTAAATTTTTCGATTTTTATCATATTTAATATATTACACTTTTTTTATATATAAATTGGAATACAAAACAAAAATAAATTATTTTAAAAATGTGTTCATCAGCTAGTAACGGTGACAACAAGACCACCTGACCATATCCTCCTGATTATGCTTTCTGTGTTTATTTTTCTATAATGACCAGATGACTGTACATCGTCCCTTGCGTATCGTTTTTGGTTCAGATAGCTGTTTGGCCTTGGAGCACATCTGACCTTTGAGGATACAATTCTGTTGTCAGGAAATCTCTGTGGAATGTACGCTTCTGTTCCTGGTGGAGGCTCTTTATGTCCAATATAAACCGTCCTGCTGTCCACCCAGCTCTCCTCTCCTGTACACTGAAACAAAGAGACAGAGAGAGTGGATTATTCATTTATTCATAGATATTCATGCATCATCCATCCAATGAGACTGCTTCCTGTTGGAGAACACACTCTTTAATCAGCATTGACACGGTTGGCCGGCCTGACTTGAGTTCACAGGTCAGATTTACCCACTGGAGAAAACAGGTGCACAAATGAGGAACCAGCTTTGAGCTACAACTATAGTTTTGCTCTGATGAGAAAGAGAACAGATACAGAACGTATGGTTCCTGTCATGCTTGATTTGACTCTCAAAGGCAGGGGAACATAGTTTCACAACAAAGAACAAGAGAGAGAGACCGAGAGAGAGAGAGAGAGATGAGTGGCTTTTAGTGTAACCCATTTTATCATCCACCTGGCAAAAATTACAAAACTGCATAATTTAAGATATTATTCATCTACATTTAATGTTACACCGAAGTTTAAAGGAACTGTTGACCAAAAAATGAAATTGCAGTCATCATTTACTCATGTTGTTCCAAACCGAGGTGTTCTTTAACTAAAACTAAAACTATTAAAAACATTTTTGTTGTAATACAGCGGAAACTAAATATATTATAAATATTAGATGAAAAATGTAAACTCAACATAAATTAACAACTAACTGAAATGAGTTGAAGCACTAAAAATTACTAAATGGAAATAAAAACTAAAACTTAAAAATAAATTAACCTAAATTGTAATATTTAAAAAATTACAAAAGCACATGAATAAATTACTAAAAATTAAACTAAAATGAAACCTGAAAACATAAAAAACAAAAGCTATTTCTACTATTAAATATTATTTTATATTTAAATAATATTATAAATAACACTAAAATAACACTGTTTCAAACCTGTATGACATTTTTGTCTGTGAATTGAAAATATATAAACAACACTGGACTGTATAACAGGTCTGAATCAACATTAGGCTGAGTAAATTATGACAATTTTGTATTTTTCTGTGAACTATCCCTTTAATACATACAATAGGGGTTAATATGAGAAACACTGTAATAATAGTGATGATAGTAAGCAGCAATAATAACAATATGACTGACAGAAAATAGTACAGGAGGATGCCCACTGCTACTGTCTTTTGCATTCATTTCCCATACTACATTAAGGCCCAATCCCAATTCTACCCCTTAGCCCTTCCCCTTTCCCCTACCCCTCCGTTTCGCGCGTTCAGGTGAAGGGGTAGGGGTGTCTCTAATCTTTTGGTTGGAGGGGTAGGGGTAGGAGAAGGGCCAGACAGCCCTTCAAACAAAGATTTTTCGGGACCACACTTCAAACGAAGGGGTATGAATTATCTCAGCGTAAACCGGCTTCAGGGGCAACATGGCTGCCCGAGCGAACAAAAAGACACATAAATGTAAGCATTTTTGGCATTAATAAAGATTTTAACAAAAAGTAATCATTTGTTTTATGTTACATTCAATCGTGAGTTCATATTTACGGTCATGTTACTCAAAGAAATGTTTGCAAAAAATCGCTAATATTTGCTAACTAACGTCATATCATTATAGACTGCACGATAGTGCCACAACATATTTTCATGTCTGATCAGGGCGATAACCACCGTAGACATTGAGGGGGGCTAGTCCCCCCAATAATTAGAAATCGCTAAACCCTTTTCTCAAATACTGGCATTTCGAGAGAGAGAGAGAGAGAGAGAGAGAGAGAGATGAAAGTTGCCAGAAAGAGAGAGAGAGACGACGTATGATGACGTGTGACGGCATAGTAGTGGTGTCCCAATATCACCCAAAATATGGGAATATTTTCACCCCTACCCCTTGACACTCTGTTTCAAGGGACAAGGGGAAGGGGTATAAAATAGAATTGGGATTGGGCCTAAGTAAAAGCAAAAAGCAGAAACCTATATGACAATAAAACCAACAGCCTGAAATATTCATTCTAGCAGGTTTGCACATATCTTAATTTCTCTCTTCATTTTTCGTTACTCATACTTCACTCAACATGTGCTACTCTGAAGCATCTGCTCTTGCTACTGCTGCTGACTTCACGCCAGCTTTAAAAGGTTTTGATTATGCAAAGAAAGCTGATCTTAGATCAGGGTGAAGGGAGTCACCTAATACAGTGTGTCTTTACATTCCAGCACAACAAGTAACCTGTCTGCAACCGCAGCGAGTGTTAACGACCGTGACGGCATTGGCTGCTATGTGACTCTGCCTTTCTCTCTCCGTCAAGGCGGGATTAAATCCGGCCGAGCCTCTTAAGCGCTTACGTAAAATGAGAAATATGAGCTATTACCACTTCAAAGAATGCCTTATCCAGCACTACATGCAACAGGACATGCATGAGGATTTCTGTCATATAAAGGACATTGAGAACATGTTGAATGTTCTTATGTTTGGCTTTAAGCGTTTAGGTTTTGGCAGGGATTTAAACACATATGAGGTCATGGTCAACTGTTGACAACATCAATTATACAAATGAAATCCTTTAGCATTCAGACTGACGTCATGGTCCACAGCAATGTCAAATTCTTCGCATCACCTTGTTCATCATGGAAAATCCTAAGAGATCCACAGGAAGTCAGTCTGAAGTCTCTCTATGTGACTCATGCATCTCGATGCCTCTGTGTATTTGTGTGTGTGTGTGTGTGTGACCTTGCAGAGTAAGCTCAGACACCATCCACCCTACACAAATTACTCAAAATGTCTTTCAGCTCCCCCAAAATGACAACACGCACTCAAAAGAAAACAAATTCAAGGATAAATCGCACAAAACACTTTGAAAAGAAAAAACAATATTTTATGCTTTCAAAAGGAAGCATAGTTAGAGAATAATTAGATTTTTAATAGTGACATTATTTTCAGAACAAATAAGCAAATGTTTCCAATTCTTATTACAGTAATAATAAAATCTCATTACTGTAATGTGAAACATTATATTATTATTTATTTAATAATATTTAAAAGTATTTAAAATTCATTTATTTCATACTAAGTGTACTTCAAATGACATATCACTTAAGACTTACTATATATAAAATTATTACTATATAAAATTATCATTAAAGTTTATTTGGAGTATTTCTTTATTGCACAATGCACATTTCTTAATATTATGCCGAAAATGTGTTTAAATGTCACTATTAATAAGGATTGTATTGTATTAGGATTGTAAGGATTAGGATTGTATTGCATTATTGTATTATCCCTTTATATCAGTCTTTAAATGCAAGATATTTAAAGTGTACCTTCAGTATACTTGTAGTAGTTCCACTTTAGCACAATTAATGTGAACTTCAGCACTACTTCCACACAATTACAATGCATTAAGTACAAAATTAGTTATTCCAATTTAGCAGACTTTAAGTATACCAGTTTAGTATACCAAAAGTACAATTGCAGGGTATTTTTATTAAGCACATAAATATATAAATGTATTTGTAGTAGGCCTATACGTAGAACAAAATAAATGTATTTCAAATAAATGTTAGTATATTTTTTACTAGGGTACTCACACTGGAAATATTGGGAATTACAAAAAAAAAAAAAAAAAAAAAATTTTCACAGATTATAGTAGTTATGGTCATGCTAATTCGGAAAGTTTGCTTAATTTTCAAGAAAACAAAAAATACTAAAAAGGCTATATCTTTGCATTTTTTAATATAAAACAATGTATTTCTTCAAAATATAATGTATTTTATTTTATTTTAAGTGTAGGGTAAATGTGCTAAAAAAAAAAGTGTTATTTTTAGGAGATTCACCCTCAAATATGAGGCTGCTTCACAGAATGTGCTAGAAGTGTGGTCAGAGAGAAAATTCCACTATAAACAGGCTTAAACTACATAAAGAATTCTTCTGATTTCCTCTCACTCTGTATTTTCTCTGTGTTAGAGAGGTGGCTTAAGCAGACGGCACTGAGCAGCTGGTCAAAGGCTCAGTGAACCCTGAGCCCCATAATCACACCTAATCCACTGTACTAACACACACACACACACACACACACAATAGACAGACCAACACACACAATGAATGAGCCTGTTCTGTGTTCTTCCAGGCACCTGATGGGTCTGGGATGACCTATATAAACCCCACATCCACCAAACTAGCTAGCTAGCAGGCTAACACTAGCTAGCTAACACGGAAAACAAACAGCTTAATCATGGATGAATTGTGGTATATTTACTGTTAAAGGAACAGTTTACCCTTTATCTAGTGCTCATCATGCTGGTATTTTTTTTTTCATTAAACACAAAAGAAGAAATTTCACGCTTCTATAACATAGAAAAAATAACAGCATGTAAGTTCAGAATGACATGAGGGCAAGTAAATGATAGCAAATGTTATTTTGGGGTGAACTATTAGCTTGAACTAAGATGGCCTGTTCTGAATAATAAGAGAAATCAGACCAAAATCACTGCTTAAGCTCCCACGAAAACCAAGTACACAAGATCATAACTGAGAAGCAAACAGTGACACAGGAATGAGAGGTGGCAGTAGTCTGGTCACTAGTCAAAGGGATTATATCACGCTCGACTCATGCCTGAGCTCCCAAGGAACAGCTCAAGTTACCCTACTGCACACACGCACACAAACACACCATCGTCAACTGTCCGTGCAAACAACGGCTGAAATTCCTCCAGCCGATGCTGATCAGTGCTGATCCAGGAACAGCTATCCCCACCTATGAAAACAAATAGACTTTGATGACATACTTCAGGATATACAGTAAGTGGCAAAAACTGATCCTAGTTCAGCACTTTCCATGCCACCACAGGTCATACCGACTGAAATGTAATGTGCTCCATGACGACATTTTCCAGTTGTGACCTTACTAGCTAATGACAGTTATTGATATTTTGCTATCAAACCAAAAACAGCAGGCAGTATATGGAGGTAGGAGGGCACATCCAAATATATGGAGGTAAGAAGGAATATCCAAACCAGGCAACATGGATGTATCCTTCATTTTCCATGATATCCTACAGTCCTGTGTTTCAAATGATGTAATAAATGT